CTACCAAAAAATGTCTGTTTCCTTTTTATAATGAAGTATTCATTAATAAAAATAAAAGTACAAGAAAAAAGAAAAAAACTTTCAGATAAATAAAAGAATGTAAAAACGGCACTTGCATCCACAGAAGATTCGTCGAATCTGGACACTACTATCAAAATTTTAGAATACACATCAAACAGAATTACAAACCACATTGAGTGTCTTTGCATCACAGCCGCCATCAGGGATGATTAACCCAACACCATATAAGTGACCTGTAAAAAGAAACACCAGAACACAAAAATAAGCCTGAATGAACTCAAGGAGACAATATGGAAAACATACTATAACATTTAATTACTATTTAATTGTAATGGCAACTGTACTACATGTAGCTATCTTGTACATTTTAGTTTTCAGGGCTGGAAAAAAGTGCCCTCTGGGACAAGTAGATTTTCTGGCCAGGCACTTGCCTGATGGGCAAGGGCCCATGCAAGTCATGTCTGCCAACTTAATAAAAGCTAACAAAAGGTTAATAAGCGAAGACTTGTCCAGGGCAAGCAAAATGCCAGAGCTGCTTGTCCAAAGGGCAAGCTGGAATTCAAGTTTATTTTTGAGAGCCCTGATATTGCAATAAAATAACTGGCTAGCATCATAGGCATGCAATGCATGTAGAGAGCTGTGTACTGGTGCACATGGCACTTGTCATTCTATGATCATCAACTCTTTTCAGTCCAGTGGGCAAATAGGGCCTCAGTAGGATTTAAGGCATGGCTCTTGTAAGCCTACAATGCAAGCCAATAATTTATTATAAAATTATGACTCAAATAATTAAAAGGTACATCAAAAAAAAATTCAGAAGTTTATTTTTACCTGAGCTATCCACTGACAGTGTTATTGTCTCTGTTAGTCTTGAGGTAAACAGTGCACACTGCCATTAAAAGGGAAGAAACCCAATATTTTAAAATGTACATTCAACAAGTTGCTACCTACATACAATAGTAATGTACTTAGAGGTATCAATAACTAAATACATTACTAGCGGATTGTCAATAGAAATTCAAAATTATATTTTATTAGGACAAATCACAGTGCAACTAAACGAACCAGGCCACCTAAAAGAGAGCTAACCAATCAAAATGTAAACTGAGAACAATGGACTAGTAGCTTTCTTGTGATGGCAACTTATAAGGGTCTGTTTGACATGAAGACATAAGTACTATCGACTCCTCTACGTTATAAACATTCTTAGAGATTCAGTCCTTGATGGTGAATTATCATAATAATAAATCTCGCTCAAAAAATTTAGCTTGAAAACTCATTTTGCGACGACTAAACCAAGACCATTGAAAAGTGTACAAAACTTACGATCAAAACTGACCAATCAACAAATGACAAAGTTTTTCCTGAGAGGTTTGCAACAGTTTGCATTTTGTTGGGTTTTCAATTTTGCTAAGAACTATTGTTGATAATCTTCAATGTTAGTGGTTTAGTTGAGAAAAGGATCAGATCACTATCTTTTAATGTTCTGATTGGTTAACTCTTTTCCAGGTGGCCCTGTTTAATCAATCAATCAATCCATCAATCAATCAATTGATCAAGTAGTCACACTAAAAATATAATGTCCAAACATTGTAATTGATAAAAAAGTTCTTTAACATCTACTCAAATCCTGCATATATTCTGACTAGATACATGTACATGTACATGAATCCCCCTCTACTTCTTTACAGTATACATATTCCAAATGCAACATTGCTAGACTGTGTGAATTTGTAGGCTATCAATTTTCTAGTTCCATGTGCCTAATTGTATTTTAAGTGAGGTTAAAATTGAGACAATGCTGGCCAGATTCTCCTTCATGGCAGCTCACATTTGCCCCACAATCTTTAAAGACACAATGTCCAGCTTATTTACTGTTGATTTGTTTACTGTGTTACGAATGAGATTCTGTCCTCAACTCTTGATTCCAAACTTGGTGTATATTCTACTTACAGCTTTTACAAATGTGGTAACACTGGTGTCACTGCTTTCACTGTTTTCTGAAGGTTTTGGTTGTAACCGTATTCTATAATAACCATTATTTGATGCTAAATCCTATAAAGGTAAGAATTACGAGTCAAATTAGTTTATTGCTGGTTAATGAAATATTGAAGCGAGCGGTAAGACTAGAAACAGTCTAAGAGTCTAATAGTCTAAGAGTAGTACTGTAATAGTTGTAATATCAATTTAACCAAAGTATCCGATCAAGCTAATCACAAATTACAAAACCAATTCAGTGAACGAATCCAAACTCAAGGCAAAAATTTATAAGGAAATGTCTCCAAGCAAGTCACAATAAATAGTCAGTTAGTTTTGGAATTACTTCTGATTAGAAGGCAAAAATTGGTTTCATTAAAGCAAATGCAAATTAGTAGCAACAGTCAAGTGAAAACTGCTCTACTGTAATTCATTACAGTATTTGAAATATAATAAACTGCATAATAGAGTGTGTTCACAAGACGTCATCAAATTCTCAAATCCAAAACTAAAGAGCCCCTTTGAAAAGGTTTTATCCTCATCAGGCATAAGAGGCACTAAATTTATATCTGTTTACATGTGCAACTTTCCAGCTCAATAGCGTCCTTCGTCTGGAAACCAGCGCATTTGGAATTTTGGAGTTATGGCAGTGCATGACATGAAGCTAAGATTGTGTTTGTTGAAAAACATACACTTATCTTGTGATTTTTAGCCATTTTAGGAGTTAAAGTATTTGGAAAAGTGCTTGTGTAAATGTTTTTTGGTTCGGTTCAGATAATCAGTTGTCTAGATAGCCAAAGTAAGTTCCAGATGTTTACACTATTTTCCAACCGCCATNGGACAGCCAGTTAATATCGATACTGGCTCATTACATATACAGACAGTTTGTCTGTCTTGGCTTGACAACTAACATTTTATAATTCTTCACTGATTATTTATGGACTGCATGACTGAGTTTATTTTTCACAAATATTATGTTCCGCTTGTACCCTGTCCAGAAACAAAAGCTTCTTATAAGATATTGTGATTTTCCATTTAAAAGTTAAAGTAAAGTGTGTTTTTAAGACCACAATATTTTACTTGATAGATTTATTAATTTATATTGCTTTTATACACACAAGGTTTGAAAAGCAAGCTCCTAGTAAAGCTAAGCTAAAGGAAGAGATTGATCAACTCAAGATGGTCCTCTTAAAACATAACTGTCCAGTGGTCTTCTGTCATAATGACATGCTCTGTAAGAATATAGTCTATGATAAAACTAAAGGTAGGTCATATAATTTTATGATGTAACATTTACACATTATTTTTATTATTTACTGAATGCCTTTGTCCTTTGTAGCAAACAAAAATAGAACTTGTGCAATATCCAGCCAATTTGACCTCATGCTTAGCAACTTTTGAAAATATTTATTAATATTGAATTGTATGTGACAGTGCAGTGTTAACTCGAGCGAACTGTAATTTGTGTTTTTTCAGACATTGTTCTAAGTATTGACTACGAGTACGCCAGTATGAACTTCCTCCCTCATGACATTGGAAACCACTTCTGCGAATATGCAGGTATCGACATATTAATAATATTTTTAACTGTAGGCAAGAGTTAAAGCTACAATATTTTACATGAAATGAAATTATACAGACTCTTTCCATGGCATGGGTCTTAAATTGTCCATATAATAAGCCCTTTGCAGCTAAGCCATCACATGACCTATTTTTCATAAAATTATGGGCTATAACTTAATGGATGCCAGAAATGGAAAAAGCATGTCGAAAATATCAAAATGGCCAAGTTTGAGGCCCCCATCATTAAAGAACGAGATTTTATGATGGTCTGAATTTTAGAAAGAATAAAAAGATTTGTATGGAAAAAGTTGCTGGAGAGCAAGGTCTTGCTCTCCAGCAACATTTTACATACAAATCGTCTAAATTTTCCAAAAATTCAAAGTGTCGCATAAACTTACTCTTTAAATCCAGGGGCCTCAAACTTGGCCATTTTGGTATTTTCGATGCGCTCTTTCCATTTCTGGCATTCTTTAGGTTACAACCCATGATATAAAAATTTTCTAGGAAAAATTTGGTCACTTGACCCCAGCTGCAAAGGACCTATTGTGGTTTAATGTCAAATTTTAATTATACTCTTTTTCTCCAGCTTCTCAGCAGTCTGGAATCTGAAATCCTTGAATCTGATTGGCTAATCGTGCGTGCTCCAGCAGTCTGGATTTTCAAATTTGGACCCAGAGTATGGACTGCTCTGAAATTCCCAACTTTGGCAGCTTTTGAAGCTCTTTGTTACATCGTAAAACAATGTAAAATGTAAACAATCAACACAGGGCCAAGCAATAATGATTCAAATGGCATCACTTTTTGTGCCCAAAATGTCAAATGCATGCAAACACCAGATTTGTAGTGATTTGTATCGAACAGCTCCAAGTAAAATTCAAAACAAAAGTTGTTGCTGGCCTTGGTCAGTCCATATTGGGAAAGACAGTGCCCTCTGGTCTTGAGTGGCAGGCCGATGGCCATGCTCAAGACCTCGAGCACAGTTCTTCCCAATATGGACCTTCAGGTCAGCAGATAACATAAAAAAATTAATTCAATCAGTAATATTGTTTAAAAATGTGTCCTTAGTCAGAAGAGGCTGAGAGTTTAATGTAATTTCTTTTTTCCTTAGGTGTAGATGAAGTGGACTACAATTTATATCCTAAAAGGGAACATCAGTTAAAATGGATTACTGTTTACCTTGAAGAAGCTGCCAGGTTGAGAGGTACATGCATGCATGACACGCTAAATGTTGAAATCACAGAGATGCCAATACAAAAAGATTGCCAATTTTACCTTTTTGACCCAACGAAAAAGTTGCTCAAAGCAGAGCTTCACCAATTCAACCACAAAAATGTGTCACAAATCCAATCATTTGCCCCCAAAAATCTGCCAAAATATGTCTGAAACATGTGTCTAATGTGCTTCCCTTCGTATTGTCTGTGAGATTTGACCCGTGCGGGAGACCAGGTGATTGTGTCTTTATAATATATTTCTGGGAGACTTCCAAGTTGACATAATCAGAGGCTGTGATGATTGGTTTCAAGAGCTACAGACGTGTTTGGAAAAATAGTTATTAATAGCTTGACTGTTTAATTTCCTTTTATAAATACTTCATGGTAACAGCTTTATCGTCATGTTGTCTTCAGAGTGACATCATCAATTGGATAAATCTTCATGTAGTGTAGGCCTTCAAATGGCAACTTCTGGAAGCTTGACAAGATGGGCCATTAGCAGACGATTGCAATTTCCTTTTTGTCAATTTTCACCATTTTTTTAAAAATTTTTTTCCAAAGCTGATCAATTATTTTCCTTGACTGGTTGACAAAAATTTATTTTCTGATAAACTAAGTTCCCACGTTTTTCTACAGCACTGTACTACCCATTACTTCATGAGTTCAGTGTAAGGTACACACAAAGTTTGGCTTAGGGCAGGGTACTAATTGCATTTACTAAATCAAGTATGAAGTTGTAGACCACCTAATTGTCATGTACATAATGGTTATTATAATGCACTAAAAAGTTTCCTCTCCATGTAAAACTGAATATTAGTATTGTGTTCNTATTGTTTTTGGCTCAATCAGGTATGGAATAACCCGCTTCAATGAGTACTTCAGAAGAAAAGATGAGTTTTTGGCACTGCAGTGTGATAACTAATGGACAAGAACTCACAGCGGCACTTATAGAGTAGGGAAAGAAAGCATTCTACATGTACTGCATATGAGAGGACATGACTAAGACTGCCAAATAATTATTTATTGTAATCAGTGACATATTACACATCCATATGATTACAAATTTCAAAAGATGGAATTAGACCATTTGGTCTAATGGTCAACTCCAGTAGATCTGGTTCTTACAATAACTAGTTCTAACATCTGGCTGCATACACTATTGTTCATAGACATTGTTGCAATTCAACTGAAAGTATAAGTAGTACCTTTTTGTGGTGGTGGTGTATTTTTTTCCCCTCTTTTCTGCAAGCTTTTATACTTTGTTAACTTAGTTACTGAAAGCAGCAATAAAAGAATCATATGACTTTATTCAAGACTAGCCTTGAAATTAGTGACAAAATGTACTTTTATTAACTAGTCTTTTATCTATTTATTAGGAAAAAAAAAGTTATTTCAACTATTGAGTGGATATCTGTTCATAACAAATTGCCATAAATATCTTGTTACTGATGGGAAAAAATGTTGATCAGGACTGCATATAATATTCAGCAACTGATTTAATCATGCTTTTGTTGTACATCATCAAGTTATGATGCCTAGGAAACTTGAAGAACATGAAAGAAGAGCAAAGGTTTTCAATGTTCTCCAAACTTCCTAAGTGTTTCTTAACTCAATGATGCAAAGCAGCACGAATCTCTTACCTTATAGCATTGCCAGTGAAAAGAAATCCGATTGACAACAATATTAAAATTTCTCTGGTGAAGTGAAGTTAACTTTGCTTACACCATGAGGGGGCATCAGTGATGTATACTGTACAGAGTTTGATACCGCAGCTTTTCCAGCTTGCTATTATGGCATCTTTTTTCTATAGATCTCCCCCATTTAATCCCTGCTGTTGGTTGTTATTCAAGTAGAGCTTTTGTGCTTGGATATAAGTACAGCACTACAATTTAAAAGTTCTATCCAAAATGTTCATACAAAGTATAGAATGAAAGGGAAATTAATGCACAGCAGCTCCTACAGTATAAATGATATCAATTTTTGTCTACTTATTACTTTATTAATTCATACATTACCAATGAATAATAAAGAAGTTATCATAATTTATCAATGATTTTAATAATTAATTCATAGCATGAAAGTAGTTTAATTCACTTTCATTTAATTTTGCATGCAAGTCATGTACATTTGTGCCAATAATAAATAACTCATCCATAAAATTGGGTCTTGATTCTCTCTGTCATACAGCCAATCTGAAAACAGGAAAGCCACTATATACTTGCTGGTAGTACACTTAACCTTCCCATCATCTGCTACATTTATTTTGTTGGCCACTATATTTTCTATCGAATGTTAGTATAAATCTACTAGCATTCTATCACTAGTGCTGTTCTCTGAGTGGCTACACTACTCACTATCTATTCTGTGAGAGATGAGTAGCATAGCAGTGTGCCCTTGTTAACAAAATAACGACCGCTTCTTGACGTTTTTGAAGTGTCTGTGAAGAGGATTTAGATAAAGTTTTGAATGACTAGTAGATTTGTACTAAAACAATTAGATTATGAGCTCGAGATTTCTATGTGCAATAGTTGACTTAGGCTGCGACCTCGTCAACTATCACGCGATAGAAATCTCGAGCTCATAATCTAATTGTTTAGTATAAAATACTGTCTAGTCAATAGTTATGCAACACTATCTGGTGGCACACCGTGGGATATCCCACTTGTCACTTGTATTTTCTTGGTATACACAATTAAATAAAGGCTTGGGTGTATACTGGGAAAACAGAAGTAACTCTTTGGATAGTATACCACTCAGAACAACTGCATAACTAATAAATTTGTACATGTAACTCAGATATAATAATTATATTCAGGTGTGTTAAACCTCCAAAATGATATATTTGCAAAACCCTCGTCCCCAACAAAGAGAGTGACTGAAAATGTGTTTACATTACTTAAGACATCCTGGAATTTTGCTCCACGTTGTTTTCTGGAGTACAAAGGCCAGGAAGATGAGGGGTCTTGTTTGCAGTGTGGAAATCTTTAGAGTATTGCAAGTGGCTCTAAAACAGAAAGTCCAGCTCTGACACCTTCACAACAACTATTTCTCAACAAGCAAAGTGGCCAAATGAATAAAATTAGATGATTTTTTGTATAAACATTAGTTGAGAACTGCTTGAAGGAGGCAATTACATGTTATGCCACAAAACAATAACATTGAAGGCAACACAAATCAAAGACAGCTGTTATGGAGGAAACTGAACTGGAAATCTAGAGATTTTCCGACTAGAAATCAGAAGGATCTCTTTTGAGACCTAGACAATCACTAAAAGTGCTCGTCAACACACTGCAACAAAAGAAACAAAATAGCTTCTTTATTTCTAAATTGAGCTAGTCTGCTGTGAGAATGCTACAAACTACCTGGGGAGTAGCAGGTCTACCCCCAATGGCACCAGGAGATGTTCAGTTTGTGTGCTGAGTTATTTGAACAATAAAGCTGTTAGATATAACATGTATTAGTATGACAAGTACATGTACAAGGAGTTGCTATGACAGAATGTCACTTATTTGCATGAGTGCACAATATGTAGTTTATTGACTGGATCCTTCTCCTTGTTGATCAGGCTGCTGTGCTGTTAACATCATAAATATCACAACAGGTACAATGTACATCCACTGCAAGATAATAAACAGTCACAAAATCAACTATCCTGAGCCCTTTATGATTGTAATAGACAGGTGTAGTACATGGAATGTGACAAACTTAATTAGCTTAATACAAAGTATTTTTAATCATGCATGTTAAAATAAAGGTTAATGTGTACTTACTTCAAAACATTCACTGTCACCAAAACTCTTTGGAAATAGACAAATTTAAACCTTTTCAATCTGGTTTTTTTTTTTTTTGAAGTCCTATGAACTTGGTATATCAATATTATATGACAAAATTTAGTTCCCAATTTTTCCAAACATCTTTTTCACCAAACCACAATTTTGTTTCAATAACTTACACCAGGTGAGGGAAGCAAAAACCTCTTTCATAATACAAGTCAAGTCAAGTCATCTTTATTTAGGCAGGGTAGCCCCATCAGCCATAGGCTGGTATCAAAAGGGGCCCTGCGTAAAATTAAGACTACCTTTAATAAATATNGCAAAAATTTATAAGGAAATGTCTCCAAGCAAGTCACAATAAATAGTCAGTTAGTTTTGGAATTACTTCTGATTAGAAGGCAAAAATTGGTTTCCTTAAAGCAAATGCAAATTAGTAGCAACAGTCAAGTGAAAACTGCTCTACTGTAATTCATTACAGTATTTGAAATATAATAAACTGCATAATAGAGTGTGTTCACAAGACGTCATCAAATTCTCAAATCCAAAACTAAAGAGCCCCTTTGAAAAGGTTTTATCCTCATCAGGCATAAGAGGCACTAAATTTATATCTGTTTACATGTGCAACTTTCCAGCTCAATAGCGTCCTTCGTCTGGAAACCAGCGCATTTGGAATTTTGGAGTTATGGCAGTGCATGACATGAAGCTAAGATTGTGTTTGTTGAAAAACATACACTTATCTTGTGATTTTTAGCCATTTTAGGAGTTAAAGTATTTGGAAAAGTGCTTGTGTAAATGTTTTTTGGTTCGGTTCAGATAATCAGTTGTCTAGATAGCCAAAGTAAGTTCCAGATGTTTACACTATTTTCCAACCGCCATATTTGAGGACTAAGTAGGTCCTCCAACATGGCAGCTCCATACTAGGCTCTATACTTTTGCATGGAACACTTTGACAAATATCTCAACTTTGGGACAACGCACACACCTTACACTTGGAGAACTGCCTTCTTTGTTTATTGCCTGTAATATGACAATTTCTTGACTTTATCCACTGAATAGTTTCGGATTTTATTTTTTATTGCGTGACAATGAACACACTCTATTCTTGGATTAATTACGACAACAAAATACACTATTTAGGTTATTGGGAAACAATCCACTCAATCGAAGCAGCTCAAAATTTCCCTATGTGCAGTCTGAAAGTAACGTTGTGGAAGTACACTCGCCCATGGCTTGTGTTCCCATAGCATTTTCTTGTCCTTCCCAAACTTTTAACTTTTTCTTATGAGTCAAGAAACTCTGAAAATGTATTTTTATTATTTCTGAAGTAAGTGTATTTATAAGTGTGGTAACATTAAATATTAATATGTGGTTACTCCTGAATGAGTCTTACAAACTGAAAGAGGATCACAGATTGAAAATTTAGGTTTAGTGTACCTTTAGGCTATCCATATCTTCTACAGAGAGTCCTTCACGCTGAGAGAATACTCCAGTGGACATCTTTAGGCTTTTGACATAAATGGTTCCCCTTAGAACAACAATACAAGTAGATCAATTATTATTATTCAGGTTGCATTAATTACATTGTATCCACTACTTTCAAAAGGGTACAAACATGAAAGATGAGAATTAACTTTTAATATCTTGTGCATTTCAGTACAACATGTTTGTCTACATCTGGCACAATGGTATCAAAAAGCCCCAGCCAAATGATCGCAACATTTCAATGCAACCCATCGCAACATTGTTGGCTCAGTATTTGCAAGCCCGGCTAAACAGTCGCAACATTTTAGTGCAACATATTGCAACATTGTTGGGCGCAATATGTTGTGTGCATTTGGCCACTTTTTTGCAACAAGTTGGGTGTTGCAAATTGAACTAGTGCGCATGCCCCTGGTGCAACATTGTTGTACGAACCTGGCCAAATGACTGTACAACATCATGCAACATCCACAAAAGTTGCATGAAAAATTTGACCACTTTCAAATTGTGCCAACAACACTCTAGATGTYGCAACACRTCACAACAGGGTGGCCAAACACCTGCAACATGTTGTGCCAACAATGTTGCAATAAATTGCATTGAAATGTTGCGATCATTTGGCCGTGGGTTACCATGGTAACTTGTGTTCATAACCTCTTAAATTACTGTATACACCTGACTAACTCTTATCTAGTGCGCATGCCTCTGGTGCAACATTGTTGCACGAACCTGGCCAAATGACTGTACAACATCATGCAACATCCACAAATGTTGCATGAAAAATTTGACCACTTTCAAATTGTGCCAACAACACTCTAGATGTCGCAACAAGTCACAACAGGGTGGCCAAACACCTGCAACATGTTGTGCCAACAATGTTGCAATACGCTGCATTGAAATGTTGCGATCATTTGGCCGTGGGTTACCATGGTAACTTGTGTTCATAACCTCTTAAATTACTATATACACCTGACAAAATCTTGTGGTGGATGTGCTGTGCATGCAGTCATATTTGTAGTTTTTCATTCATAACGCCATTTGAGCACGTCAAAGTTGGACCAGCAAGAAAAGTAACATAGTTCACCAGCAACATCATAATGTAAGAGGGCTATGACTTTGAAATCACTATTCAATTGTTCTTACCTTGGCTTAAAAACGGCATTTGCTCCTGGAAAAGGAAAAAAACAGCAAGATATTTTATAACTTAAAAAACATATTTTTTGCATCAACAGTCTGAACACATCTACATATCAAAATAGAATAATTATCTTTTAACAACATACATGTACTCTTATTACTGTAACTACATTGTATCAGAAATCCAAAACTTGGGGTTTACAGGGTACAATTAATTTTTCCATAGTGTGAAAAAGAAAAAAAAAACTATCATTGTTCTTGGGAGGTAGGCAACAGTTTGGCAGAAAACTACCCTCTCAAGGTTAAGTATACTCGGGACTTTGGTTCCGGGACCACAACCAACAGCAATTGTGAAGCCCTGGCTAGAACCCTGAGTAAGCCTGCAAATAAAGGGCTACGGCAATTTGACTATAGAAACTAAAGAAACCTTATACATCTCATGGCACAATGAGACTTGACTTGTATGATCTCCTGGTTATCAAAGATGAAAGACCATGCTTGACCACATTTCCAAACACTTAGAAGAGAGTTGAAAAAATGACACATATCACAGTATTTTTGACCAACTTTGAGTTAATTGGAAATGTAGTCAAACATGGTCTTGAGTGCTAGATATATGTACATTGTACAGTCAATCTTGTCAATCAAAACTAACACTAAGGAGAAAAATGGAAAAATATAATCATAAAACATCTATGCTTATCAAGACCAGGTATCCAAACACTATGAGGTTCAAGATCACCTTTATTTACTTTTTTTTTTGATTTTTCAGAAAAGTAGTTTGAGAAGTCAACCCTCCAAGTTGGAAGCATTTTAGTCTCCATGGTGACTAGAATTTTGGAGCGTTATGAGTTCACTTGTAAAATAAATTATTCTGCCACCTTAATCTGCTGAAATTTAGACTGAAGAAAAGTTAACTTGGAGGGTTAGAAGTCCTGATCAATTGCAGGCCCTTTACATGACCAGGTAACATGCTAAAATTCAGCTATGCTGGGTTGCAAGTTTTGTACTGAAACATGCAAAACAGAGTAACTCATACCAGCTAAACTTCACTGGACTTTGTTTTTGATGTCACACTGCATAACAAAGAGCCCAAAATGACCTATTGTGTACCATGTGACCAGGTCACGCAAAGGCTGGGTGCCTTGAAAACTATTTTTTTTTCACTTGCCCATTAGGCATGTTCCAGCACTGATGTACTAGCCAAAAAAACCTTCTCACTAGCCCTCAAAGCTTGCGTCTTACAGCACTTTAATAACTTGAATTTTCTCAAATATTTTGTCAAGAAACTTCACTTGCCCATTGCAGGGGTTCTAATAAGGGCCAGGCACCAGCTGTGAGGACGATTTTGCCCTCCTGGTTTGACCAACAAGTAGAAAGTTTTTCCAATAAAGAAGTTCAGATAAAATACATGCAGTTTTGCCCGCCTGTGAAAACCAGTTGTTCTTCTGCTGAAAAGGTTAATGAAACCCCTACATTGGCAGAATGCACCAGCCCACTGGAAAATCTACATTGTACTAGCACTGGGTTATCAGACAGGGCATTCCTTGCACACCAAAAAGGCCTTTAACTCCTTCCTCGTAACAAAAGTGATCTTGATTTTTTTTAAGGAGAAATTAAATGCTGATCACTTCTTGACGCTGAAAAGTAGTCAAAATATTTTAACTGACTGGGAAATCGTGACAACAGAGTCTATAAACATGCTCATTCTTAAAGTGGTAATTCCCTATTCCTGGGAACTACGTTTGCAGCAAATACAGTATTTAATTTATAATTTGAGGTAAATGAAGCTTACCTTCCGTTAGGCAGTGATCTATGTTGAAAACTAACTCCTCTCCGCGAGGTTCCAAGCAACCAACCTGGCAGACAAGTCAGGCGACAAAAAACATGTACATCCACTTACTTGACAAGACAACAAATTTTTTTGACACTAAATCACTAGAAATGCTGAAGGTAAATTGCACCGCATCCCTTAAATCTCAGGATCAAAGAATACGTTACCTTTTCCAAGGATAAACGATGAAACAAAAGGAGAAGAAAGAGCACAAAACTGTACGTTCTGTCCACCATATTGAAAGACAAGAATAACTCGCAAAGGATGGTGGTATTGTTATTTTTACGAGTCGGCCTGGGGGACAGTTTGAAAACAAGATGGCGGACACGGCGTGTTTAGTTGGTATACATGACGTTTTTGGCCAAACACTCGTAAATTTTAGTACGTTTTTGTAGTAATTCGATTGTGATAAGGCGAAGTATTATGAAAGTTTGCATTACGCCAGTAGGAGCAATGGAGAAAGAAATCAGTGGCTTGTTACGCGAGGTGAAACGCGCCAAATTATTTGAAATACAACGACTTGTGCGGAGAATCAGACAATTAGCTCACAAGAAAGGGACCGAAGCTCAATTGAAGAAGAACCAAAGAAAGATCGAGCGGTTCGAAAAGGAGCTGGAGTTTCTAAAGGACGCTGAGGTGGCTGAAATCATTCGCAAAATCACCAACAAGGAAGACAAAGATGGGTATAAAATTGATGAAGTGATTGAAGACTCAACGCACACAGACATTGACCTTCACAAGAGAGCTTTAGACAGGATCATTAACTCGTCAACACTAAAGAGATTTTTAGAAAAGGCTTCTGCCGGCGAGAAAGATTCTGTGGATGATGCAGCAAGACCAACAAAGATACAGCTAATGAAAGTGAAACTAAAAAGAAGTTCGGCTAAAAGTGTTCCAGCCGGAAAGTCACGACGGAACGAAGAATATGACGACGATGGCAGCATCGATGCTGGGATAAGAAAAAAGCTGAAACAAAAGAAAGCTAAACAACGAAAAGGTACGATGAGTAAAAGCCCTACATCTGACATAAAGCCAGAGCTTGAAGAAGATGAAAATTATGTCTCTTGGCCTGGCTCAGACTGCAGCGAAAGTGATTTTGAGGAAGATGCTGACGATATATCTTCATTAGAGCTTAAACCAAAAGGTTTAGAGTCTTGCTTTGTCCAAACAATGTCTGGCCTAGAGACGGAGTCCATGAAGGTGAAAAGCAAACAGGGCAAAGAAAAGGGAAAAGTAGTCAATAAGAAGGGAAAAAAGAACCGTAAAGGACAGCGTGCAAGACGGCAGAAATGGGAAAAGGTTCATGGGAAGAGCGCAAAGCATTTAACTAAGAAGAAAGTAGAACTGAGTTCAAAAGAAACCAAAGGAACAAAGGAACGGAAAAATGCCAAAATTCAGCATTCTCTCAAGAGGAAAAGTGACGATGAATCACTGCATCCATCTTGGGAAGCTACAAAAAGGAGAAGATTACAAGAGACTTTGAAGGTCGAATTCAAAGGACAGAGAATAAGATTTGATGACTCAGAATAGTTGTGTTTGATATACCGTGGAACTCCGTCAATCCTAGCCAGAGCTTTCTCCGCATTCTGGCCGCGTACAAAATCGGGGCGAGAGCAAAAAAATTCATCGAAGCGGGGGACGGTGGATTGGCCGAGCGTCGGCTACGTCGACTTTTTGCTGTCGCCCCAATATTCGCGCGACCCGCCGACTTTGCTCGTTCAACCTCCCCTACAGAGCGCCTACTTCCGAGGCCACGTAAGCCACGTTAATCCGACCAACAACAGACTATCAAAAAATCTGCACTCCTGTCAAAGTAGCGGGGTGGTGGTACCGGTATTGCATGAAATTGGCTCCTGATTAAATGGGGTTTTCATAACGCAGATGATTGATTGAGACTCTCTTTGGGCCAACCGCCAAACGAAAGTGGTCGTAGCATTCATGAAGAAGTCAAATTTAAAACGAAGCGTTTCTAAGATAAGGCGTTACTGTTTAGACTAAACACGTGAACGTTCCTTGACTTAACTTACCGTTACGTGATGTTTAACAACTGATATCGCGAGAAAAAGTAATTTTTTTAGAAGTAAATTTTAAGAAATGATAAGGACATTTTTCAATTTATTCGCATAAGACTGTATTTGTATCACTGTCATTTTTTGTGTTTTAGCTGCACATTCCCCTGAGAAAAGTATATCCGAGATTAGAGCAGAAAGTAAAATCAATTGTTACAGCAAGCCATGCACTAGTGATTAACTTGCAAAATTATGGGCAATTATTTTGTGACCATTTCATATATCAGCCGTTTTGAGAAAGTTTGTTCTGCAAAGCTTATGTAACAATGTCGAAAGGTATTATGGGTAATGGTGGTTTACTGTTGCTTGATTGAAGTTCGAGGTGTTTCAGCGTGATAGAACGAAACAGCATGAACACGAGTATTCATGCTTTCTCTGTCCTTCTTGCCGAAACACCGTGAACCTCAACCAAGCAATGATCAACTATGCAATACCCATAATACCAATCGGCATTGTCTCGTACGCTTTTGTGCTTTTGTGGGACATTTGTCTAAACAACTGAAGTGTACCCTCACGTGAACCGACCACCCAAACGGCAAGCCTGTGCGGTCGTTTACGCTAGATAGTCGCTAATGATATCAGATCAGAAGGATCTAAATTTTGGTTTGTACCCAAATTCGCAATTAGCCAATCAGTAGCCGTGGCTACTATCTATCAAGTCACTGACCTGATATGGCTACACTATGATGGACATTTAGCTCAATTTGGGTGCGGTAAATACCTAATCGTACCCTTTTCGTATCCTTTTGGTACGTTTTGGTGGCATGTCAAGCTTGTTTGGTCTCGCCACGGGTATTTTGGCTCGACTACGTCTCGCCAAAATAGGAACCTCGAGCCGAAGCGTACCAAAAGAATACGATTAGATACATATAACCCCAATCGTTTCCAAGGTTCAGTTGATGCCTTCACGAAGCACCCGTAAACCTAAAAACCACGTTAATTATATAAAACACATCTAGTAATCAATTCGAGGATATTTCGTGCATCCAGTGCAATTTCCAAGTCGTGATACCTGCGATGTTTAATGAGCCAATAGTCACGCGTGAACATAGGACAAAAAACAAACTTCAAGGCCCTAAAAGGGCTGTAAGGCGAATCGTTACCCAATTTGCAACCGTAGCAGGGTAGAATGATAATTTCAAACCATCAAATTGTAATAGCCGCGAGCTATAAAGGAGGCGATGTCGCTTCTTACTTGCTTTTAATATCTAAACAACATGG